AGATTGTTAGGGGCAAGAGGCTGACTCTGTAAACCACTTAGGGAGGGCTGCAAAGCGGGATATAAGTCTAAGGGCTATTGTTAACTCCCATTTTTTTCACCGCCATTGTAACTCCAGTCACTAAACAAACTGTTGTACATCGAGGACTGCCTGTGTAGACAAATAAGATAGAAACTGATGCTATCGCAGTTAAATCTTTCAATAAGGAGTCACATAAAAATAAAGGTGGGTGAGTAAGCAAAAGAACACACACACACAAACACACACACAAACAAAACACATACACACAAACACACATACACAAACACAACAACAAATAGACACAAACACACAAACACAAACACACACATACACACAGACACACACAAAAACAGAGACACAAACACACATACAAAAACAAACACACAGACACAAACACACACAAAAACGAACACACACACAAACACTCACAAACACATAAACACAAACACTCACAAACACACAAACTCACACCCACGGGGTGCAAACTGTCCATCCTTAAGCATCTTTAAACTCTCGGGCTCCCTCTCCAGCTCTCTGCTGCCTACCTCGCGGGGTAGTTGTGTAAGGGGGCGGGACCAAAAAAAGGGCAACCGATCAATCCAATCATAGAATAACAGAGTTGGAAAAGACCTTGGAGGTCATCTAGTCCAACTCGAGCAGGAGCATCCAATCCCATGCCTCCCAGGCCTTCGCTCACCATGCGGGCACTCGGGCGCCGGGGCTGCGGTGGAATCGCGCTCCAGCACCACCGTCGCCACCCCAACCTCCGGCGAGGCCGCTTCCATCTCGGCTCGACGGTCCTCGACGGGCGACCCCTCCGCTTCCCCAGTCTCGCCAGCAGCCCCAGCCCTAAACAGGAAGCTCTCTTCCCTTTTCCTATCTCTAGGGCATCGCCTTTCTCGCAGAGGCGACGCCCCGCCTCTTCCGGCTTCCTTTGGAACCCCTAGACCTTTAAATGGGTTGAGAAGCCGCCTCCGCTTTGGGAAGCGGAAAGAGCGGTGGCGGGACGCGCCGTCCAGAAACGGAGAGATTTGAGGTTATAAAAGGCCAAGCTGCGAAATTTCGCCCAAGTCGTCAAGTTGATTTTTGCACTGAAAAAGACGCGGCTTGCATTTTTTTAAAAAATTATTATTTCTTTGAATATCCTGCTGGGTGTTTAAGGAAACGGCAGTGGCTATTTTATTTTATTGTTGCATCAATTATGACTGTGTTTCTCAAATCTTAGCAACTTTTAAGATGTCTGGACTTCAGCTCCCAGAATTCCCCATGGCTAGAGTTGGAAGGAAGGAGAGAAAGGAGGGAAGAAGGGAGAATTAGTAGAATTACAGAAGTGGAAGGAGGGAAGGATATCAGAATAAGAGTTGGGAGGGACCTTGGAGGTCATCTACTCCAACCCTCCCCCCACTCACCCAAGCAGGAAACCCTACACCATTTCTAACAAATGGCAGTCCATTCTCTTCTTGAAAGCCTCCAGGCATGAAGCTCCCACAACTTCTGAATGGGTGGATTTCAACTCCCAGAATTCCCTAGCCGGCATGGGAGTTGAAGTCCACCCATCTTAAAAAGCTGCCCGAGTTGGAAAAATACTGAGCTGCATGATTTAAATAAGGACAAGAATCGAACTTCCTAAATCGCATAAATCCTCAAATTTATTATTGATGTCTGAATTAACTCTGGCATCTTCCATTGGCAAAGGGACACATTTTGCTGGTTTGCCAGAGATTTCATTGGCTACATGTATGGAGTACAGGTTGTGGTGTGGTACGGTGGCTGAGGTGAAAAACTCACCTCACAATCTGGAGGCTGTGAGTTCAATCCTAAGAAGCCAATATTACTCTCTCTCTGGGCAGAATGAGAATATATCTGCTGAACAAAAACACCTCATTGGCAACAGGAAGGGCATCCGGCCAGGAAACACTCAGCTCCATTCAGTGGTCCAGACTCCACCCCACAAGGGATTATGGGGTCATTAAATGTTTTGAGTAGATATTCAGCTTTAAGACCACAATGGAGCCCCAAATCTGTCGCTCAGTGAGGCAGTCGTTAAGTGAATTTCCCCCCGGTTTTACCACCTTTCCTGCCACAGTTGTGAATCACTGGGAGTTGTGGAGTCACACGATTAGTGAATCTGGTTTCCTGGTTGACTTTGCTTGCCAGGTCACAAACCTGTCAGAAGATCACAGGACGAGGAGACACTGCAGCCGTCATAAATCTGAATCCATCGCCAAGCTTCTGGATTTGGGTCACATGATCGTGGGGATGGTCGTATGTATGAAAAATGGCCGTTAAGACATTTTTGGTGCCGTTATAACTTCAGTCACTAAATGAACAGTTGTAAAGTTGAGGACTACCTGAGTCTTTTAATCAATCAGGAGGGGGAGACAATGCAAATTAAAAGTTGGTATTTGGTTGTTGTCTCACCTTTATTACAAATAACTCAATCAATCATTTATTGTCAAAGCACAACATGTGTATAATGAAACTGAAATGAGCCTCCTTGGTGCTAGCCCTCCAAATCTATCATATTAAACCTCATTGTGGTATTTTTGTCAAGGGAACTTATTATAATGCTTTTTCTTCATCCCATCTTCCTCATAACCACCAATCTGTAAAATGACTTGGGTTGAGTGGCCCAAAGTCACCCAGCCAATTTTCATGTCGGAGGCAGGACTAGAATGCACCGTCTCCTGGTCTCTTTAAGCCAGCACCTTAACCACCAGGCCAAATTACACTGGCGATTACATCAGGATTGTTAAATGTTAAAAAAAAAAACACCAGGGGCCGTTCAATGAAGATGATGATTAGATCAGGATCCTCCCAAGATTTGGATAAAGTAAATAGTAATAATAATAATGAACTGAGCTCCATTTTTTAAATGTTTTTTTTTAATTTAAAAATAAGCTTTATTAAACATTAAAAATATATACATAATACAAAATATTTCATAAAATATGAAACCAAAAAGTTTTACATAACCAATAAACATAAAATGTCTCCAATTGCTTAGATGGTGTTTTTTTAATCAAACAATTTTCCAGTACTTAGTTCCTAAATCTGGTATATACTCCTATCATAACCTTTTTATATTTTCCCTTCCCTATTTGTTTACTCACAGGTTTCTATCCTTTATCCAATTATACCAGTTTTCCCAAACTGTAAAATATTTTGAGTCTTCCTTATCTTTAAACTTTTGGGTGAGTTTATCCATTTCCGCGCAGTTGTAGATCTTCCGGATTATCAAGTTATCCGTTGGCATCTGATCTCCCAACATTGAGCTAATGCTATCCTTGCTGCAGTTATTATATGTAAAATTAAATATTTTATTTCTTTTGCGATTTCACCTTTTATTATTTCCAACAAAAAAATTTCAGCCTTAAGTTCTAATTGAATGTTTGTGATTTCTCTTACCATATTCTTATTTCTTCCCCAATACTTTTTGCTCTTTGGACAAAGCCACCAAACGTGGAAGAAGGTACCCCTTGTTTGTTTACATTTCCAACACAGCGGGCTTAAATTTGGATACATATTGGCCAATCTCGAAGGTGCTAGTTTAATAATTAAGCTAGTTTTTATATGCAAACTATTAGAGAGGACTTAATATGTTGCGCTCTATAAAAATCAAATTTAGGAGCAGTGCTTCAGAGACATTTTTTACAATCGTTTCATAGAAAGTATGTTTATTGTTGATTTGGTGATCTCTTCAGAGATCCTCTTTGCAACGCCATGCTTCTTTTTTTGGAGGGGGATAGTGTTAAAAGATCAGAAACACAAAGATTTTTTAATTGAAACAATTCACTTTAATGATAAAACGATCAGGCTGGCTAAAAGTGTTGTCTTGTTATATGGAGTGCTAAGAACATGGAAGATAGCAGCATGACAAATACCATAAACGAGTAAAATGAACCTCATTTTAGGAAGGAAAGGATTCTCTGTTCCAGATGTTTCTCTCCAAAAAAAATAGATTAAATTTAACTGGACAATTGTGGCAGATCTGCAGCAGCACATCTGAGCAATAAATAATTTGGAGGAATGGACACAAACTGAAATCGGAATAAATTTATCAACCCGCAATACAGTCTATTTTCAATATTAAGGCTTATGCATCTTAGAATATCAAGTAGATTATCCCAACAGGCTACATTGGTTTAAACAAACGTTAAAAGAAACAGCAATGCAAGAATGTGTGGGGTATTGCTCTGCAGTTAAAGATACAGCATTTCCCAGGAAGCTAGGCACGATTTTTAATGGGAAAAAACCCCCATTTTTCACACAGATGTTTTGAGCTTCAAAACCTGATGCTTAAAACAAGTTTTACTAAATTCTTGGTAAGTTTAAAGTTATTCCGATTATCATTCTTGCAAGTGATGATCAGCTAAAGCCAAATACAAAGTTTAGAGTTGTTGTGGAATTACCTGACAACAAAATGATCGAAAATGGATTTTTTTTTTCTGATTTGCAAGTTTTTTTACCAAGATATTGATGTTAAGGAAGAGAGGCACTAACGTACAAGTAAACTTTGGTTTCAAGTTAGTGAATTTAACTGGCTTTGGTAAAAGTTTCAAAACCCCAACCCCAAAGTTGCAGCAGAAATATTGTTCTAACAAAATACAGTATTTCCTCAATTCCTCATTCTGACAAAAAAAGAATCACCAGACTGAAGCATGCATTTATCAATACGTATATTCTCAGGAAAATTAAAATAAAAAATAAAACTATGTTCCTTTTTTTGTAGTGTTTTCCCTCATCCAGTTCTTGGTCCAGAAAACCAACAATTTTTGGAATGTGTTACTTCTTGGTACTAAAGTAAAACAATGTTAAAGGTGACTTTGAAAAAGGGTATCTTTAAACATTAATGAAGTCATCTGTTAACTGGCTTGATTATTTTTCTTTTTACACCGAAAACAAAAAAACTGAAAAGGCATGAAAACCTGGAAAACCGTGTTCCTAAAATCGTGTATCTCCCCACCCCCAAAAAGCCACACATTTGTAAATAGAATTTTTTTAAAATACAGATGGAGCTAGTAGCTAAAAATGCAGAGATAGGCTGTGCAATAAATTATGCACGCAACCGTGGCGAAGAAGCACTGACCATTCCTTTCCCAAATCCATTCCTTTCCCAAATCAAACAATACACAGTGAAGCAGATGCTAAGTTGCACTTAGAACTGCTTGCCTTCAGTGCAAATAAGGTATGAGAGCTATGACATAATTGCAGCATGTTTCCTCTGGACTACCAACATGAATTTAACCTACCTTCAAAGCCCTTTATTTTCCAAATGCAGATTGGTCCTGTAGATTAGATTAAGATGACAGGGAGACAACTATGTGGTGAAGTAAAAGGCCAGGCATTTCAATCCTATCTATAAAAAATTAAATGATAATTTCTGGATATTGTAGGCAACAATTTCTCCCCTCCCCCCTCCAACTGAGTCAAAAGTTGTCTTTGGCATCTGTAAACTTTTATTCCCCCCCACCCCCCCAAAGAAAACCAAATACACAAAAACATCGAACCGTCTATAAAAATACAGTTTAGGCTCCTCGTTTCCCTGATGTAAAATTTCACAATTTTAAATAAACTGTAAACTGAGTACATTCAATATATATATATAAAATTTCTGAGGTTTTGGCAGTCCAGCATTGGGAGGGAGGGGAGCAAAGAAAAAATTATTCGGAAATCTTTACGTAGTAGAACATCTTGCTTAAACTAAAGGTCTTTTTACTTGGTCTTTTTACCAGGAGGAGAAAAAAGGCTTCCGGCTGTGAAAAGTCTGAGTAAATGCATTGCTCAAGTGAACAATCCTTCCTTGAGTTCCACCGTGGCTTCTCTCCACGATCACCCGAGGCATCTGGACCAGCTGAAGAGGGCTTCTTTCATCCTTTAAGGCCTGAGTAAGGTTCAGTATCTGCAAAAAGGAACGATGCCAAGATAGAAAAAAGTACTTTTAGCTTAGCCCTAACGCTGCCAGAAACCGCCTACCCTACAAGAGACGCTGCTATGCACTCTCTATGGTAACATGGACAAGAGGCGCACGCAGCAGGTCTGTAGTTAATAGAACTATGTCTACGTGGAGGGAAGTGAGCAGTGGGGTACCCCAAGGTAGGTTAGGACCAGTATTCTTCAGTATCTTGGGAGTGGTGTGGTAGCCTGGAGGTAGACTCTGGCCTCATAGTCAAGAGGCTGTGAGTTCGATCCTAGGAAGAGGCAGATATTTCTCTCTGTGGGCATGATGAGAATATATCTGATGGGGAAAAAAAACTCTGCACTGGCAGATTTCTGGTCTAAAATAGAGATATGCATATGTGATATGTAGTAGCTAGGAGATTATCTTAGGATATGATACTTAAAAAGTGAGAATTAAAGGGGAGTAACTGAAGTGATATACTGGATAAAGGGGTGGCACACTCCAACTGGTAATTAAAGGGGGGTAATCTTTGGAATTATTAGAACTAAGATGTGATTTATTGAATAATGAAATAAAAGTATGTATTAAAATTGCAAATGTTGACAGTTAAAAGTTAAAAAGTATAATGAATATAGAATAACAAATAAGAACTTTAGATATTATAAAACAAGAATATTTAAAGAAAATTGAAATAAGCTAAGATGTGAATTGAAAATGGATACAATAAAAGCTATAGATAAATGGTAAAAGTAGTGATATGATATGAAATTGAATATGAAAGATAAATATGTAATTAAGGTCATGTTTGTATTGAAATGTAAAAACCTGAAACTATGCTGTTCACTAAAAGAGGATGTTGAAATAAATAAAAAATAAAAAAGTTTTTATATACAAACAAAAAACAAAAAAACTCCGCACTGGCAACAGGAAAGGCATCTGGCCATTAAAACACTCAGCTAGCTCCTTCAGTTGCCCAGACTCCTCCCCACAAGGGATTATGGGGTCGTTAAAAGAGGAGGAGGACTCTTCAATATCTTCATCAATGATCTGGATGAGGGAATACAGGTAGTCCTCGACTTAGAACAGTTCATTTAGTGACCGTTCAAAGTTACAATGGTGCTGAAAAAAGTGACAGTACCATTTTTCACACTTATGACCAGTGGTCACATGATTTACATTCGTAATCTTGATAACTGACTCATATTTCTGACCACTGCAATGTCCCAAGGGTGTTAGGAATGTAAGTCACCTAACAGTTATTTGGGTTGGAAATATATAAACTAGGATAGACATTTTAATACTATGTCTTTAAGAGAATCCTAAAACTGTAATTGGGTGTGGTTTCTCAAACGGCCATAAGATGGAGCCAGAAACCTGGGTTGTTTAGTCTCAGAAGAGAGTGTGAGTGAGTCTCTGTTTCCTTCTGTTGGAGAGTATTGCCGTTCCTCCTAATTGACTGTTCTTCTTGGATTTGATGTAAGTCTGTTACTGAACTGTTTTTGATACTGGCCTTTGTTATTGGATTATCCTTGGACTGAAAACTGACTGATTTAACCGTGAATGACTTGGACTGTGTTTGAACTTTGCTTAAACGTTTATTGAAAGTAAAAATCTACATTTACTGTACAGTGTATCTGTGTGCTGTGTGTGTATTATTCAACATTACTCTCAATACGTCTCCCTGTATGCGCTCATTCTCCTAACGGGGAATTACCTCAACAAGGCGAAGGAGCAAAACTCACTTAACAAATTTCTTACTTAACAGAAAATTTGGGCTCAATTGAGATCATAAGTGGAGAACTACTTATAGTTAAAGAAAGCAAGTTGTGTGCTAAAGTCTAGAAAGAAAGAAAACAAAAACCTAGATTCTATACTTAACTCAAAAGCAACTGCTACAACGATATATGAGGCAAAAATACAAATTTAAAACACATCGTCCAAAGGAAAAATCCCCTTACCTGTCCTCTCATTACAGACATTTGGTTCTCAAAGGTAGCCTTGTCAAACCCTTTGTCAGTCTTTATTGGAAGAAAAATAAACTGATTTGAGAAACCTTCATAAGTCAACTCAGATCCACCTATAAATAACCAGACTTAAAATAATAAGCAAGGAAGCATTACCAAACCATTAAAAGCCTTGTGAAAAGTCCGATGAACTTTCCGTATTTTGACATTTCACCCGTTATTGACAGCTTAGAGCAAACAAATATGTTATAGAATAAATATGCTCAAATGTGCATTATTCTGCCCATTGCTGTGCTACTTTAAACTGTTTTGTCCAAAATTACTTTTACCTTAAAAAGTTCATAAAGGTCTTCACAGAGGTCCTGTACAAAATTCATGTCAGAAATACGAGGAAGTATCAAATCTACTGTCTCTTGAGAAAAGGGGACCTTTGCTTGTGGAAGCCAAGCCCAGTGGAATGGATCTGAGAGAGGGGAAGAGACAAGGGACGTGAAGGTGAAGCCTTTCCGAATAAAAAGGTTGAATTTTCAACTTTTCAGGTGTTAATGCTCAATTAACTGACTTTAGGAAAAGTCCATTTCCTTATAGATGTGGTCCTTGAATCATGATCACAATTGGAACTGTAACCTTGGTCGCTTGTTCTGACTTAGGCTTCCTTATAAAACATAAAACACAATCTTAATTCCCGGGAAAATCTCTTTTATTTCCACGGCTGTGAATTGTGTTCATTCACAGCCTGCAAGGCTTCCCAAACAGTCTTTCAGGGGTATGTTGATAAACAGCCACCTTATCACACTTGGAATGCGTCCAGAGAACTAATGGCCAGACGCAGGGCAAGGCCAAACTTGACACAGAGTCAAACAGAACTTTTCAAAGTTTGAATCGACCAGATGAACTAGTTGCTTCCTGCAAAGGCTCACATCCCGTTCTCTCCTCTTTTAGGTCCTATGGGAGACCCCAATCATCTCCGAGGTGTGGCCTTACTCCTGAGTAGACCCTGCTTTCTCAATTGTTCTTCTGGTAGCCCTGCGCATATGCATGCTGGGAACTGGTTCCAGAAGCTCCCCCGCCTCACTGCTGTCCAAACCCAAAGGCAGCTGCTGACTGCCAGCCTGCCCTGACCCCATCTCTGCCTCTGGTGCAGAGCTCTCGTCCGAGCCTTTCTCAGCCTCCAAGACTGGCCTAGGTTCCTCCCCAACCTCCTCACTACTGTCCGACTCTGCTGGCAGCTCTGGCAGCGGGCAATAACAGTCACTGAGTTGAAGCGGCTGCTTCAGTCAATGACCACCGTCCTGGCACACCAGGTTCTGGTTGTTAAAACGATCACTTGGGTTGTTAAGCAGGTGGAGTCCCAGGTAAAGAGCCTCATGAAGGGAGGATCCGCTCAAGAGCTGAAAATCTTCCCTGCCAAACTCCCAGCAGGGTTTTCAGCCCCTGAGCTTCCAGCCATGTTCCATCCGCCATCCAACCAGGAAATTCAGTCTTAGCAACTGTGCAACTCATTTAATGACTACCGTGATTTGCTTAGGAACCATTGCAGAAAGAAGTCTTGAGATTGGCTTAAGGACTGCCTCACTCAGCAACGGAAGTCCAGGTCCCAATTGTCCCCTTTAAGGTGAGGATTACATGTATAAACACATTTTTATCTAAGGGGGAAAATTCAGAAGGAACATCCTAGCAATCTTGGCCTTAGGAATCCCTACAAGTGTGGCTATTCGAGCTGTATTCTTCCCAACTGAAAATAAAACGATAGACTTGTCGTTCACATGAGACAGGTTAACAGTTACCCATTGTGGCACTTGACAAAATATATGCCGACAATGATAATTGATAATCAGGTATAACAAATCTGAAAGCTAGATAAGCCCTGGTTTATGCCATACTAAATCCTATTCATCATTTCTGTTCACATGAAGTTAACAACTGGAAAGAAAAGCACGAGTGCCTGCCTTCCGTTTGCTAGATGGATATTATTATTTTGCATGTTAAGATTTTTATCCCATGTTTATTATTTATAAGTAATTCAAGGTGGCAAAGATACATAATAGTTCTTCCTCCTCTTTTTGTTCCTCACAACAACCTCCTAGGGAGATGGATTGGCAAGACACGAGTGACTCAAAGTCACCAAACTGGCTTTCGTGCCTAACACTCAACTAGAACTCACAATTTCCTAGTTTCTGGGCCAGCACCTTAACTTTATGCTACTGACTATCTGTAGATATAATACAATCTGCTAATAACAATACTTGCAACCTCATGCATTCTTATCGAGAAAAATTCAAAACCTCACATGCTCTCCACTCGTCAGGATGCTTGAAAGGAAAAGCAAGGCCATTATCAATTGCTGCAATTTTAATAATAGGTTCCTTTTCATTAATCCATTGGATCTCCTATTGGAAAACAATAAAAACAAAACAAAATCAAAAGTATTCAAGGCACATCTACTGGTATTAAACACAGAAACAAAAAACTAACATTTGAACAGGATATTAAGCCTGTGCAATATATGCCACACAATATTATTTTCCACTGATAATTCGGTGATAATCTAGCACAAGTATATAACATCGATGATTTTAATTACACATGATTTAATTCTATCTTATTCCGTAAGAACATAGGATAAGAAATAATCCTCTATAAAATCCATAATTGGACACATAACTGAATACAAATCACATTATTGATCAGATGGTATCCCTGTGATCAAAACAGAAGAGTCTTTGTCCTACCTTATCAGAAAGATCAGGCCCATCGCTCTGTTTTTCATACTTGACTAACCAATTATCGTTGCCTCTATCTTCAAAGAAATGAAGGAGAAACACAATTAAATGAAAGGCAAATATCAACATAAAATATTTCTATGGTCTTTTTAGAGTTGCCAACAGAAAGGGAGGGGGAGCAGTGCGGCAGCTTGCAAACTGAAACTGCATTCCATAAATGTTTTCAAAGATAGTAACTAGGTGACTGAAGTTTCTGCCGCGCAAAATTCTAACTGGAGAGCATGATTGATGACTCTGGGCTATGGATGTATCCCATTGGAGAATAGGAATTACAATACACCCAGGGGGTGGGGGAAAACCAGGGTCATGGGTGACAGTGAATGATGTGCCTCAGAGTTGGCTACACCCAGGCAGTGCCAGACATGTTAACTCCCAATAAATCCTTTTGAAGTTTTGGAAGTTTGGCTCGAGACTCATGATTTAAATGGGGGTAACTGCTGGGATCCTGACAGCAAGGGTGTTGCAGTAAAAAAAATGTCACAATAATGAAATATAGTACAGTTTAGCTTGCCATATTTAAAGATAGCTATATTAATCTACCATGGTCAATCCTAAAGGCAGTGATAATTCAATATATACCATTTAAGCCTTAAAGAGCACGGACATTTTCTAGCCCATTTTCCTCTGCTTGAATTCCATAACAATTCAAGGGTAATGTCATAAGGGATGAATTTTTTTTTTTAAAAAAAAACCTATTACATACCAGTATTTCTGATAACATAATCAAGCACAACCAGTTTCTCAAACTGTGACTGAAACTGTTTCCTTGTGTTCTCGGGCAAAGGGTCAGTTTCAAATTTCCTGAGCCAATAGTCAGCTTCTTTGTAACCTTCCACGAAAAGCTGGAAGGAGCCAACCTGCAATTGAAAATAAAGCCTGCGTCAATGAAACGGACCTGAACGCATAAAGCATTTAAAGCGCTTTTCACACGTGAAAGCAAATAAAAATGTTAGAGCAAATGCTCTTCCTAAGTAGAGCCGTGACCTTAATCAATGGATATAAAAATAATATTTATGGGGAAAGAAGATTTCCATTGCTAACTATCAAATTACAGTTGGCTGGAGAATGCCTTTCAAAATGTAGCTTTTGAGAAACAAGACTGAGTTTTGTCTGTGATTTTTTTTTTTTTGTATTTTTAAGTTAAAAAATAATAATAAGCAAATCTTGTTTTTTTCCCCTTTTGAAGACGTTTCGCTTCTCATCCAAGAAGCTTCTTCAGCTCAGACTGAAGATAGTGGGGAATGGAAGGATTTAGATGATGATGGAGGAGGAGGAGGAGGAGGAGGAGGAGGAGGAGAGGAGGAGGAGGAGGAGGAGGAGAGGAAGAAGAGGAAGAGGAAGAGGAAGAGGAGGAGGAGGAGGAGGAGGAGGAGGAGGAGGACGACGACGACTTACAAATTACTCCAGAGCAGGAATGGAAGGAAATTACAACCCCCCTCCAAATAAAATTGAAGTGGGGAACATTTTGAGGACTGCCAAGGGTTTTTACCTTAGGAGGTAGTCCAATTCGGTGAAACTTTTTGCCAACTTTTGGCACTTTTTCCAAAGCGTATTTCTTCCCTCTTGACTTGGCACGGTCGATGGCACTGTAGTTGAACGTCTCGCTTACAAACCAGACGACCTTAAACACAGACAGCAGAATAACCTTTTTAACATTTTAAGGGTGACACCATATTATTCATTGTACCCACCTCTTCCTTAAGCTGTACAGGCAAGTCCTTGGCTTACAACAGCTCACTTAGTGACCAAAGTTACAACGGCACTGAAAAAAGTGACTTGGGACCGTTTTCCACACTTAACGACAATTTCGGCATCCTCGTGTGATCAAAATGCAGGCACTTGGCAAGTGTGTCATATTTACGACCGTTGTAGTGTCCCTTTTGCCACCATCTGACAAGCCTGATTCACTTAACAACCCGGTTACTGACTTCACTGCAATGATTTGCTTAACAAAGGTAGCAAGAAAGGTTGTAAAATGGGCGGGCAAAACTCAAATCAATGAATGTGTCCCTTAGCAACAGAAATGTTGGGCTCAAGTCGAGGACTGCCTGCATTTTGTCTTCAGGCTTTCTAGTAGTAGATAAAGATCAAAGTTTTTATTGCAGAGGTTAGAGGAGAATCAACCGAGGCTCCTCGATGATTTCCTTTGAGGCTATAGTTGCTCCCTTGCATTCCAGCAACATTTTTGCCAGGCCAGTTTCAGAGGATTACGAGGACGAAACTGCAAGTTGTCAAATTTGCAAGCTGTTGCAAAAAGGAGGAGTGGAAAAAAAAAGGGTACGGTAAAAAGTGAAAAGGATCCACCCTGAAAAGCTGCACGGTGGTTAAGGGTGATGTCCAGCAGCTCTGCATCTCTAGCAGTGAATTGATAAAATATGCACAAAATTCCAATTGGACCCCCAGGCCAAAAAAGGAAAGGGCCCCTCCCGTAAGCTCATTTTATGCCTCATCCTGACATCTCCCATCAAATTCCACCAAATTCCAACCGAGGCCAATCTTCTTAGCTAATGAACTCCAAAAGTCAAAACTATTCTCCCAGTCTGAAAATTAGTTTAAAGGGTTTTAATTCAACATTTATTTGTTTTGTTTTTGTTTTTTGTAGTTTTGAGCAGAAATACTTTTCGTCATGCTCAATTTATGCCACAAACCACTCTCTTCTTACCTTCGTTTTGGGGACCACTCCTAATCCTAGTTTACTGTCCACAAGATAGGCACCAGCTTCGGAGAGATACCCCTGATTAGGAACAAGGCAGCCTCTGCCAAAACAGCAAGGGCAACAGATTTTGTGAAAATATTTGGTCCATTTTGGATTTAGATGACCATAAGGCTCTTCAGACTTGGGTTTAAACACTCCAATACTTTTCTAAAGGAGAAGGGAATAAAGGAAGAAGGAATCAGAAAAGTGTGCACTTGTTTGCTAGTCATATATAGAAATAGTTTATACAAAACTAGTCCCCTTCTTTGCCTTCTGAAACGGGGGCAAAAACTACTGCAAGTCTCAAGAGTGCATACGTGCCCATGGTAGATTTGGGAGAGAACGAATAAAAAACCGGGAATTCTGGGAGTTAAAATCCTCCAGGCTTAAAGTTGCCAAGGTTGGCGAGCCCTGGTCCAAAGCTGTCTGGTTATCTAAAATTCAATGTCACCACACGTAGTCCTCGACTTACAACAGTTCGTTTAGTGATCGTTCAAAGCTACAACCTCACTGAAAAAAGTGACTTGGGACCGTTTTTCACACTTACGACAATTTCACCATCCTCCAGGCCACCGAATCAAAATTCAGACACTCGGCAAGTGGCTCATATTGATGTTAGTTGCACTGGCCTGGTTATCACCGTTTATAACCCGACAAGTAGAATCAATGGGGAAGCCAGATTCACTTAAAGACCGTGTAACTAACTTAACCATTGGAGTGATTCAATTAAGAACACTTGAAACGTCAAAAGTTGTGTAAATTCAAAATGCATTATGAGTCGAGCATCAAAATAGAAAGGGTTCATTTTTTTTTTGACAACTCCCATCTTCCCCAAACAAAGTCATACAGCATTTAAACCGTAAACACAAATAAAGCATGTTTTATTTATACAATATCCATTAGCAGAATAAATAGCATTCCAAAAAATAAATCAAAAAATTCAATACGAGGCTACTGTTTCAGAGTGCTATTGATTTCGGATGGAAGGAAAAGAGGACAAGGCAGCTGTAAGTTCTGACTTTGAACATGAAGGAGCAATAAAACTAGCCATCTTTTGACCCTCACAGCAATGAAATTTAAAAGACCAGAGACACAATAAACCATTAGTTCTCTCTGACAAGAGTTCTGCTTGCCCTCCAATGCAACGGCTGCATGGTCTCCAAATCTACTAGTGTTCACTTGAAGCTGGTTTTAGCCTTTGCCGATAAGTGATGAAAAGCTGTTATTATTTCTGATGGACTACAGTAAGATAACTAACCAGGCATCATGCAGCAACAATCAAGGAGAGAAGCAACTTAGAACTAAGGAGGAATTTCCTGACAGAACAATTAATCGGTGGAGCAACTTGCCTCCAGGAATTGTGAATGCTCCAGTATTGGAGGTTTTAAGAAGAGATTGGACAACCCTTTGTCTGAAGTGGTGTAGAGTTCCCTGCCTGGGCAGAGGGTTGGACTATAAGACCTCCAAGGTCCCTTCCAACTCTTATTCTATTCTATTCTATTCTATTCTATTCTATTCTATTATAATATTAACTCTAATGGTGTCCCTAAAGTTAAGGGTGATGTGTATTATGCCATATGAAATATTGGCAGACTAAAAGTAAAACAACAACAACAATGGGCTGAAGTTGAGAGACTACATGGCAACTCAGCTATAAACAAGAGCAGGTTTCACTAGTTATGCTATTACAGCCTTGTTTCAGTGCCAATCTATGGCTGGCGTGGAGCCAGAGGCACAGAAATAAGCCAAGCCTGTATAAAATTCTGAACCCATTTGTCTTCTTCAATAAAGAACGGCCTTAAGAGGAGAAGGTGGAAACACTGATCTGAAATTTAAAATGGGATTGCACAGATACGAGGACCACCACTGAAGTCAGAGGTCTATTACAAGGTCCAGTTGCTAATAAAATGATTTCATTAGCAATTGGTTTTGGGCAAAACAGCTGCAACATTTGTTTTCATGCCAGGATTCATTATAGATAATTACCTCCAATTTGCCTCCCTTATTTCCTCCAACTTTCTTTTGTCTCCTATGAATCTTAACCTCTGCACCCATATTCAATTACTTGCCTGGTTTGTGTTTACTTCCTAGGAAAGAAGGGTATTTACTGCAAAATCCTAGGCTAAATAGCAGTAATTGTGAAGGGAACTATTTTAGTATGGAGGTAGTAGTTATACGAAAAACTTGTGTTTAATGTTAATGTCCTTTCATCCAAATTTCTTATGCCATCTAATCTCATTATCATATATATTTCAAGTATTTATGAAATTTATTCTCCTTGTCTATAAAGCAACCTGATTTTCTTAATTTTATTTGATCCAGAAATTGTTGATGAAGGCAAAAGGCTCTTCTAATTCAGGTAGTACAGCTCAGTTATATTATTACAACACAAAAGATAACTATGGCCCACATTTTACTGTTTAGTAGGTTCTAGAGGTAGATCCAGAACAAAACAAAGATTCTGTTTCCCAGAAAGAAGATGCAAGAGACAATGCTCTCGTGGATTAGTATCCTTTAGCAACTTGCATTCATTTCACTTTCTGAAGATTTTTCTGAAGTTATATCACAAAAAAAAAACACGAAACCTGGTCTCTCTCAGCTTTTTTTAATCCAACCTCTTTAGATAATATCACCCAAATATTTGACAGTTTTGGACAGCTACTACGAGAATGGAGATCAACGAGAATTATGAATCTAAAGTTAGAAAATGTGTTTGCACGCACACACTGGTACATATATTATGCCGTCAGATTGGTTTAAACTCTTAGAAACCACATACTTTCACAGAGATTACAAACACAGTCTTTTGAAACTCATTAGAGAAAATAAATCAGCTGTTAAAGAATTCTGAGCCTAAAGCAAGAGAATTGTTACGGTACAAAAATGAGACTTTTCTTACAATTGATCATGAAGTCTTTCCATACAGCACTGCACACCAGAACAACTAGACACAAGGACAAGTTTTTTTCCTGAATGTCATCACTCTGCTAAACAAATAATTCCCTCAACACTGTCCAACTATTTATAAAGTCTGCACTACTATTACTATTCATCTTCTCGTCACTCCTTATCACCCATCCCCTCCCACTTGCACTGTATGACTGTAACTTTTCACTTGCATCCTTACGATTTATATTGACTGTTTCCTAGTATGATTTGATTGCTTATTGTACCTTATGACTATTATTAAGTGTTGTACCTGATGATTTTTGACTCTTGATGAATGTATCTTTTCTTTTATGGACACTGAGAGCATTTGCACCAAGACAAATTCCTTCTGTGTCCAATCACATTGGCCAATAAAGAATTCTATTCTATTCTATTCTATATTCTATTCTTATTCTATTCTATTCCAAATATTATTAACTGAAGAAATGTTGATCCAATAAGCTCTATATATATACACAACAAAAAAAGGAATGTTTTAAGGTTGACTAAAAAGTCCCTCCATCCCTGTTGTTTAGCATTACGCACAAAGTAGAACTATGCATTTGTTATTCTCCTAATAGCAAACCATTAGGCAAAACCAAACTTCTGACTCCTGCATATTGGGAGAGAATGAAGGAAGAGATAATCCCTACATGTGCACAATGCTCAACCAACCACGGATTTGCTCAAATCCGTTTAGCAGTCCTGCTAGCAAGATACAGAGGTAGAAAGTGCTTCCTGCTTCTTCGTGCAGATAAGCTGCAAGGAAAGGACCCTGGTATCACTGTGTGCAGATAGGCATGCGCAACCTCGACCATGGCAAAAGAAAACATTTTTTTTACATAAACCCACAAATAATGCTGAAGCCAAGGGCACTCACCCTCTTGGAGTCTTTGACAAAGTAGCTTCCGCTGGACCCTTGGGAGATTCTTTCGGGAAAGACTTCGCTTTCGATGGCTTGTTCCGCTCGCTGCATGACTTCAGCAAATTCAGGATCGTCCATACAGAAGTTCATCTCTGCAATGCTTCCCACATTTCCTGTGTGTATTGCAACAACAATTTCAAGTTAGTGCTATCAGCTTATTTTTTTTTCCTTTCCTCAACTGTTTCCCCCCACCCCACCCCTTTCAATTTCTTAATAGACACTTAACCCTGGCTTACTTCCTAGTAAGAAACAATATGGGGACTCACAATAGCAATGCCAAAATAATATATACAGCCCTGCAGTTGCTACATTTGCATAATGCAGCTACGTGGTTGGAAATTGGACTCTTTGGGATGACTGAGGAGGCGGTCCATAGGTACAAGGACAGCATGCAAAACAAATGGTATCGGACCCAGATAGACCACCGAATACTGAAGGCAGCACAGAGATTCCGTTTCAAAAGCCAACCTGTGAAGTGGATTTCCCTGAAAACAAACGGACCAGTTGCTTTGGTGGTGTGGAGAAGGTAACTTGGTCCTCAACACCAATAAGACCAAGGAGTTGATAGTGGATTACAGAAGGAACAAATCAGACAACCAGCCCTTGCTTATCAATGGAGACCGAGTGGAGCAAGTGGCCAGTTTTAAGTTTCTGGGTGTTACCCTAAAAGAGGACCTGACCTGGGGGGGCTCACATTACAGCCCTGGTCAAAAGGGCCCAGCAGAGATTATACTACCTGAGGCTTCTCAGGAAACAACAACTGAATGAAAAACTGCTGGTGACCTTCTACCGCTGCACCATAGAGAGTATCTTAACTTATTGCACCTGTGTAGGGTTTGCCAATTTGCACAGTGGCAGATTGCCCAGAGGATCATTGGCTGCCCTCTCCTCTCCTTTGAAGAGCTTTATAGCTCCCAGTGCCTTAAGGAAGTTCAAAACATTCTCAAAGGTCCATCTCGTCCTGGGTGCCTCCTTTTTTTTGAACTATGACCAACTGGCAGCCGGTACAGGATAATAATGAAAACAAGGACAAACAGGCTGAAAAACAGCTTCTATCCCAGGGCAGTAACTCTTTTGAATTCTGCTATATAGCGCAATATGAATGCAGTATCAGGGGTTTTTCAGTTCAATGTATAGAATGCGAAGGATGCGTGTTTGTGTTTATTTTCATCGTCATAATGGACACTGAAGATGGTATTTAATTTTGTTGTACGAGGTGCAATGACAATAAACTAAACTACTCTCCCCAGTCCTAGGACGATACCAATTCTTGCAATAACACTGGCAACAAAGGAACAAGCACAAAAAAGGTCCCCTAAGCCTGCATCCAGCTTCAACAACACTTCACTATTTCTTTTCTTTTCTAAGTTTCATTAGGCCACATTGTCCTCCCACCTTCAACCCCAAAGAGCAAGGATATAACCCCCAAAGCAGCTGCATCCCACCACCCCAATCCAGTGCTTGAGGGACTGCCCCAAGATCAGCCCGTTGGCTTTGGGCATAAGCTGGGACTGGAACTGGCAGGCTCTGCTTCTGCCCTGATGCCTTAATCACTGCGCGTCTTCTCCTTCTCGTCAGCCTTGACTCCAGGCAATTGTCTCTGCCATTTTCCAAGCAACATAAGGTAGTCCTCAACTTACGACCACAACTGAGCCCTTGAAACATTAAGTTAGTTTTGCCCCACTTGATACCCTTCCTTGCCACAGTTCTTAAGTGAAATACACCCCAGTTGTTAAGTTAGCCACACAGGTGTTAAGCCTATCTGATTTCCCCATTGGTTTTCCTTGTCTGAAGGTCGCCAATGGGTGTGTGTGTGTCACATGACTCCAGGATACTGCAACCGTCATAAATATGAACCATTTATGTATAACTTCAAAGGGTCATTAAATGAAGTGTTCTACCTTGTTTTCCCCGAAAATACAACCTATCCTGAAAGTAAGACCTAGCTCAGGGTGGGCAAACTACGGCCCGCGGGCCACATCCGGCCCGTTGGTCTGTCCAATCTGGCCCGCCCCTGAAAAAAAATCGCTGGGCGTGGCGTATTGCCCTGAGCCGCGTGGCCCCCAAAGTTGCAAAACAGTGCGGAGCGCTCTCGGGGTAGGAAAGAAAAGAAGAACTTTGCAAAGGCCTCGGCTGGGAGTTCGAAATCACCTTTGAGTGCGACCTCTCCGAAGGTGAGTCCCCGCCGATCCCCCTTTTTTTTCCAGGGCTTCCAGGCTTAAACTTTGCAAAGGCAAAGTTTGCAGGCGGGAGCGTCTTCCGGCCGAGGAGCGGGAAGGGTTCCGCCTAGTGGGCGGGCTGCTTGAAGCGGGCTGCTTGGAGCCACCTAAAGCTAGGCCGCTGCTGGTGGAGCCTTGCCCTGCCTTGGTGCCCCGTTTCCCGGCTCGGCGGTCCTGCTCGGGCGGCACTTTAAAAGCCTGCTCCCAGCACCCGAGCAACTTCCCAGCAACTTGCGCCTTCCTTTTTCCTCGCGGGTGCTCGCGCCTGGCCTCGAGCCGTGCGGCGGAGGGGAAACCCGAAGCCCCCCCGGGTCCCCCCCCCAAGCAGCCCGCCCGCCCGCCGGGCAGAACCCTTCCCGCTCCTCGGCGGGAAGACACTCCCGCCTGCAAACTTTGCCTGTGCAAAGTTTAAGCCTGGAAGCCCCAGAAACCTGAGCAACTTCCCAGCAACTTTCGGCTTCCTTTTAACTCGCGGGAGCTCGTGCCTGGCCCCGAGCCGCACGGCGGAGGGGAAGCCCGGCGGGCGGGCGGGCTGCTTGGAGGAGGCGACCCGGCGGTGCTCCGGCAGCAGCAAGAGACAGTTCCGCCCGGGCTCCGCTCAGGTGTCCGGCTGGGGCTGTCAGGAGTTGCTACCGCCGGCGCAGCTCCGCGCAGCCAGTCCCGCGTTGCCTTGGGAAGGAAAAGGCAAAACCAGGAGCCGCTGAGCTTGAGCCTCCGGTGCCGCTGCTCCCGTTGCAAAGCACCGCCGCAGCTCTTCCTTTTTGCCCTTCCCTTCCCCAGGCAACGCGGGACTGGAGCCGCGCGGAGCCGCACCGGCGGTAGCAACTCCTGACTCAGGGGGCCTCCGAGGGGAGGGGAAGGAGGAGAAGAGGAGGGGAAAGGGTGGGGGGGGCGATTCCCAAAAAAATCTTGTGCTGACCCGGCCCGTCTGTCAAATTTTAAAACTTAATGTGGCCCCCAAGCCAAAAAGTTTGCCCACCCCTGACCTAGCTTGATTTTTACACATGCACCCAATATAATCCCTATTCCCCCCAAAATAAGCCCTAATTATGATCCCCACTCCAGAGTGCATGAGTAAAAATTAATCTAGGGTGGGGATGGGGGGTGGAGCTGCCCTACTACTTACCTTTGGACAGGTGTAGCCAGGCCTTATACACCCCAACACCTGCCTTGCCAGCCCATTTCTTCTGCAGCCGGCAAGGCTTTCCTGAAGGCCTCTGTAGCTGATAAAGCTCTGGACCGATCCAGAGTTATCAGCTGTTATCTGTTGCAGAGGCCTTCAGGAAAGCCTTGCTGGCTGCAGAAGAAGATCCTTAAGGACTCTGACAGCAAAAAGGAGCCTGGGGGTGACACACACAAGTGAGGTTAGTCAGTGGATCAACATCCCCCCAAAATAAGACCTGGTGCCTTTTTTTGTGGCAAAAAATTTAAGACAGGGTCTTATTTTCGGGGAAACACAGTATCCTGGAAACTGTCCTTGCCTTCTTCCACAGGCTAAGAGAGAGCAATTGGCCCAAAGTCACCCAGCTAGGACTTCAAATCAGGGCTCCTTTCTCGCAGGGACTCCATGAGAGGCCACCTTCCATTCATGGCCACCCGACTGTCAGCTACAATCGAGCCCAAATTTTACATTGCTACGTGGACCATTTCTCAAGGGAGTTTTGCTCCACTTGGAAGACCTTCCTTGCCACAGCCGTGAAGCAAAACACCTTTGTTGAAAGTTTAGCAACACAGACACTAAGCGGATCTGGCTTCTCCATTGATTTGGCTGAGAGTGCAACCATCATAAATGTGAATCAAAGTGTGATGACCCAGAGTGGGATACAAAATCAGGTGAAGCCCCTTTTATTGCTTCACTTTGCTTCAAAGCTCCAAATATCCTTGACTGGAGACAAAAAACTCCCCCACAAGCAGTTGCGAAAAGGAGGAAATGCCATTTAAACTAAAAATGCTTATAAATTATAAAGAGTAAAACAACACAAACCACACTGAAGCAATTAAGGGAACCAGGCAAAATATCGGAACACCCACTGGGAAGGACGCCAAACTCAGAGAGGAATGACAGACTAGAGATATTTCCACGCTTTGTTTCTAGCACTGGTCCATACGCATGTCCGTCCTTTTAACCAGTTCTCACAGATGCAGCCTATGAAGAGGATCAAGGCCCTTTCCTCCCCCTTAGACCATGTCATTCATGTCTCTCCCTTATCCTCTCCTCCCTGCATGCCCTAGGATGGAGAGGGGATGGGCCTGGGTCTTCCTCTGACTGCCCAGCCAGCCTCTGCCCTTCCCCAGCCTCCTCCACAACCTCCAGATCCACACTCCCACTCCCTGTCCACTACTCCACCAGGGGCATGACACAAAGTATAATATTGTTATTCATATCCACAGTTGGTTAAATGGAAACAAAACTTGAAATATGACATGGTTATACGAATGTTTTTGGAATAAATATAAGATTTATTGTGTGGGAAAGAATACCATGTGGAACCCAACTGGGGGGAGGAAAGAAATATATGCATATATAACAGTAAATATAAGATCATTGTTAATACAGGAGGTAGTAACTAAAAATGGCTATACTGATATTAGTTGTTTTTTGTTATATATTGGGTTTAAGAGATAATTATGGTGAGAATACATAAAATAAAAATAGGTGGCAAGATTGAATTGACAATAAAGGGGATAAACATTGGATAATATATTTACAGACTCCTCACATCCCGGACAAAAAGTGTTTCAACTCCTTCCCTCAAAATGGCGCTATAGGGCCCTACACATCAGAACAACTAGACACAAATGTTTTTTTCCTGAACGCCATCACTCTGCTAAACAAATAATTCCCTCAACACTGTCCAACTATTTACAAAGTCTGCACTACTATTACTATTAATCTTCTCATCACTCATTATCACCCATCCCCCCCACTTGTGACTGTATGACTGTAACTTTGTCGCTTGTATCCATATATATTTATATTTACTGTTTCCTAGTATGATTTGATTGCTTATTTGTTCCTGTGACTATCATTAAGTGTCGTACCTTATGATTCTTGACTCTTGACAAATGTATCTTTTCTTTTATGTGCACTGGGAGCATTTGCACCAAGACACATTCCTCTTGTATCCAATCACACTTGGCCAATAAAGAATTGTATTGTATTGTATTGTATTGTATTGTATTGTATTGTGTATTCTATTCTATTCTATTCTATTCTATATCTTAGGATGAATTTCTTTTTCTGGAAATGATGAATGAAACCACATGAAGTGAAAACACATTAAAAGAAAAATGGAATAGGTAAATGATATGATATGAAACTGGATCAGAAAGCTGAAAATATAATTATGATTATGTTATGTATACTACAACCTGGAATCACATTGTTCACTCTAAGAGATGTTTAAAGCAGGGGTCCTCAACCACCGGGCTGTGGACCGGTACCGGTCCATGGAGCACTCTGTATCGGGCCGCAAATTAAAAAAAATAAAAAAAATGGCGGCTTTCTTCGCCTTCGGTGAATGCTGCTGGGATCGGGGATCAAGGACACAAATGAAAGAATAATAACTATTCGCCTCTTTTTATCAGCCAAAGCTGCTCCGAAACGAAGAAGGCAGGCAGGCAGGCAGAACGGACCACTGTGGATTGAACCGTGCATGGGCGGGCGGGGTGGGGGTAAACGGGCGCTTCGGAGGAGCTGCGGCGACAGGAAAAGCCACACACACCCCCGGCTTCTTTGAAGCAGTTTCTTCCTGGGCTGGTGGAGCAGCGAGAGAGCGACTGAGAGAGGAACGAGGCAGACACCTGAGGGAGGGAGGGAGACACCTGAAGGATGGGGCTGAGGGAGGCAGGGCCGAGGCGCTCCCTGAACTTGGTGGTTTGTTGGCAGACGTTTTATTACCCAACTAGGTAACAACATCAGATGTTACCTAGTCAGGTAATGAAACGTCTGCAAGCAAACCACCAAACTCGGACTCTCCCCCCCCCCGGTCCTTGAAAAAGTGTTTGTGCTTGAAACTGGTCCCTGGTACAAAAAAGGTTGGGGACCACTGGTTTAAAGAATAAAAATAAAAAATATGCAAAAATAAAATATAATAAATGAGAGTCAGCTGCAAACATCTGAACTTTGACCATGGGGATGCCGCAACGGCCATTAAAGAGTGGGAAAAAACGGTCCAAAAGTCCTTTTTTTTTCAGAACTTTGAGCAATCACTAAACAAACCACTGTTAAGTCTAGGACTGCCAGTATCCAAACTTTGATCACGTGACCACAAGGATGCTGTCGTAGTCGTAAGTGTGGGGAAAGGGTCCAAAGTCCCTTTTTTTTCAGTGCACTTGCAACTTCGGACCATCACCAAACGAATCACTGTTAAGTCGAGGATTGCCTACATCCAAATCTGGACCATGGAGATGCTGCCATTATCATTTAAGTGTGGGAAAATGGCCCTGAGTCCTTTTTTCCAGTGCCCTTAAAACTTCAAAGGGGTCACTAAACGAGGACGAGGTTCTAAATCGAGGACCACCTGCAATTCCCCGCCCACTCTGGAGGAACAAGAGCATCCCACGTGCGGCCACGCCCCCCCTCCTCTGCGCAGGCGCGTTGTTTCCTCACGCAAGAGCATCCCACGTGTGGCCACACCCCCTCCCCCTGCGCAAGCGCGCCTAGTTGCCTCATGCGTCAACGTCTCTTCCGCCTGGCTACGCCTCTGCCTTCTCAGCTCACCTGTTCCGTCCCGGGCCCGGTGGCCCCAGCCCGCGGCCGCCGAGCCCAGGAGCGGCTCTGACTCTTCGCCGTCGCTTTCCTGCTCCTCACAGGCCGCCTCGAACAGCTCCCGGCCGGCGAGGAGGCGAACGGCGCCGCCAGGAGCCGTCGGCGCCACCCGTCCGGAAACCGCCACGGCCGGCGGTTCTGTCTCCAGCTGCAGGAGCTCCTCGTCGGCTTCTTCCTCCGCCTCCGCCTCCGGGGAAAGCATCGAGCCGGCCATCGCCATGGGGGCTCGCGGAGGCAACGGCCGCTCTCCGGTTCAAGCGCCGGATGGCTGAGGGCGCATGCGCCCCAGGCTCGGAGAGGCGCGGGGGGGGGCGGAGTCGCGCGCCGGGGCGGAGTCGCGCGCCTGCGCGTAGCGATATCCTGGCGCCTTGGGATAGCAGGGTCCTGGGGCGGGGCCAAGCAGGGGGCGGGGCTTCGATGCCAGCTCCGCCCTCCGCCTTTTCCTGGCATCTATTCTAAAAGGAAAATGAATGAATTCGTGGGAAAATGCGAGCGGTGTCAGAAAGTGGATTTTTTTTCATTGCATTGAGCGGTCTGTCCGAAATGTTGGTCTGTATAAGACAGGAGGACAATAGAATAGAACAGAACAGAATAGAATAGAAAATATATATATAATAGAAAACAAATATATTCATATATATATGAAATGCCACTCACACATCATCAAAATCTCCAGAGCCGTAAAGCCTACAAACTTGAGATTTGGCATGTCTGTTCCTCTTGGCTTCGAGGGGCTCATTAAGAAAGGATTTTGTGAAATGACCATCAGAGCATTTAGAGTATTTCCTATATTATTATTATTATTATTATTATTATTATTATTATTATTATTATTATTATTATTATTATTATTAGGCTCTGATGCTAAGGAGTTCTACTCCCCCTCCCCACCTGGAAAGAAATCTCTTCCAGATGCAAAACACAAGCAGAGGAGAGGAGTTTCAGTTTCACAGCAGCACCAAGAAGCTTTAGTACAGAACAGTTGAGCTAAGCCACACCCAGGCTCCTTGCTGTTTCCTTGCTCACCCAGCAAATATTCTTTCAGTTTCCAAACACCCCTCCACTCTCTCACACACTGACAGGATACAAGCCAGATGAGTACTGATGGACGCTGGTAGGCAGAGGTAGAATTCCCTCCCCCCCTTATTTTCCTTCCCAAAAACTAAACCCGACCACATAGTTTCGTAGCCAAGCATGGGTATTGAGCTAGTAGAAAATAGAATAGAAAATAGAGTAGAATAGAATTAGAATAGAATAGAAACGGAAACGGAAAAAATAGAGAAGATTAGAATAGAACAGAATAGTTTACAGTTAGAATTAGAATACTTTATTGGCCAAGTGTGATTAGACACAATGAATTTGTTGGGTGCATAAGCTCCCCAGTGTACATACAACAATGATAGATCATTGTCATAATTGTAAAAACACATCATAATATATTAGATGCAACATGGAGACTAATCAACATAAATCATAGCAATCGAAGCAACTAAATAAACTTGGGCAGGGGGCTGGACTAGATGACCTACAAGGTCCCTTCCAACTCTGATTATCTGTTATCTTTGCCATTATGAATAAGGAAGTCCGTCAGCAGTCCTTGAATAAATGCACAAATCCCTCCTCTTTCCTTATCTACACTCTGAGTAAGTCAACACTGAAAATGTCACAGAGAGGAGGGGTCAGTCTATTCCCCAAAGCACCTGAGGGCAGGAGAAGAAGCAAGGGATGGAAACTTATCAAGGAGAGAAGCAACCTAGAACTAAGGAGAAATGTCCTGACAGTGAGAACAATTCATCAGTGGAATGGCTTTGCATTCAGAAGTAAATGCTCCAAACTGGACATTTTCAAGAAGAGACTGGACAGTCATTTGTCTCCTGCTGGAATGGGGTTGGTCTAGAAGACCTCCAAGGTCCCTTCCAACTATTATTCTGTATCCTTAAAAAAAACTGGTTGTTTCTTCTAATGATTAAAGTGAATAAATAATCGATATAAAATAAAGTGAATTGTTCACCCATCGCAATCCAGCTTTCTGATGGTCCTGCGTAAACTCTTATGGCTTTAATGCCAAGCTAAGCAGAATAAAACGAGTGCCATTCAAATGGGCTGTTAGTTCCTGTGAATTGGTCCCAATCTTGAAATTGTTTGATCTCAGATGGACACTTCTTGAATTTCCTGCTTATCTAGTTTCACGGCAGAATATTTTGTGATGAAACATTGTGATGAAAAATGATGATGCAAACCATTGGTCTGGAAAGAAAACGGGGGTTCAATTGTGCCCTCAATTGCATTTTCTTAGAAGGCCCATGGAGCCAATATGGATTAAAAGCATACTTGCAAATACAAATGCCTTCTCCCACTTTTAAATAAAAGAGACACTACTGATAAATAAAAACATCAAAATCCTAGATTTCACTAATTTTATTCACATGGATTTATACTGTTTTATGCATTCTTTTGACTTCAGATGCATTCCAGGCTAAGATTTCATTTCTACATACGTGGTTATATCAGGTCCTGCTCCTTCATCACCTGGCAGAGGGAGAAATAGCATTTTGCAATGTATAATGGAAACCAATTATTGTTATAAATTGGCGCCCTCTTGCGTTTCTAAACCCTCTTATCAGCCTTAATTTTTACTTCAAAAGAATATAGCTAGTGATGGACAGGACTATATACCGTACTAAACTAGAATCAAGGTGGAAAAAAATCCTATATATTTGTTAAAGATTTACATTAATGTACAGTATATTGCCTTTCCGTATCAACTAACAAGATAAGCATTTCCAATCAATTTTCGTGTTCTTGTCAATTAAAGGGGCGGTGAGGACAAGATACTGTATAAAAATAGCATTTACACACATCTTCACAGTGCTTTGCAGCCCACTCTGAGCAGTTTACAGAGCCAGCCTCCCCCCCCCCCCCCCAACAATCTGGGTCCTTATTTGACCCAGATTTGGAAGGCTGAGTCAACCTTGAGCCAGTGAGGATTGAACTCCTAACAGTTGGCATTCTAAGCATTGTGCGACTCTAAGCACTATAGAACAAGCAATATTTTCTGATAGAATTGTATGAAATAATGGAACCCATCGAGACTGGATACCCAGCCTGTAAATCATCCCCACTGGGTTCCAGCTTCTATGCCTTACAAAGGCAAGATGAAGCCCCTGATTTTTATTTTCAGTTTGCTTTCTTCTCCATATCTTCGTGATGTCCAGCCCAAGAGAGAGTTCTGGGAACTTCAGAAGGCTACAGGTACCAATGCAGTGTGAGTTGACTTTGGATCAAGGCAATCCAAGAGCATTCAGGGCAGCCCCGCTGTCTGAGGACAAAGGGCAAATGACAGGCAGATTACAACACCTTGTGCTGTCATTATGCAAAAGTCACAGCTGTTACACAAGAACACGCAGGCCTAATACTAGCACTTGTAATTTGGGCATATGTGTAGTTTGACAATATTTTTTTAGAAAAGGGGCAGAAGAAAGCAAGCTTGACTCCCTTTTTTTAGAGGAGTCCACTGGTTTCTAGGGGCTTGCCACTGCCTTTTTATAGGATTTTTTCTTCCCACTTCCCAATTAGGCCAGCAGCCTGAGGATCGCCCGGTGGTCTCCTATCCCAGAGCGAAATCAAACTAAATTGGACCGCCGCTGAGCTTCCTCCTCCCCGCCCCTAGAGGGAGCGCGCCGCCTTCACGCTGCGTCGCAGTGTGGTTCGGGGCAGGGGAGGTTTTCCCGCGGGGGTCAACTGCGCCTGCGCGCTGGTCACGCCTCCCGCCGCTGCTCGCTCGTCGCCCGTCATGAACTCCGAGAACTTCCAGGCCGGCGAGAGGCTGGTGAACGCGGCTTACGTGCGCCAGGGATGGCAAGGCCGCCGCACCCACGAGCTGCGAGTGCGGACGCTGCTGGAACAGGTGCCTCTCGCTCCTTGTAGGGGGGGGAAAACAGAGGGAGGAGGCGGGGTTTCGGAGGAAGCCCTGCCCCCGGGGGCTGATTAGGCACGCCTCCCGCTGAGAGGGCGGAGCTTGGATCCAAGCCACTGAGTTTGCTATAGCCGTGACTAGGTGGAAAACTCTGTCGCTTTTATGACGTATGGACTTCAATTCCCAGAGTTCCTCAGCCAGCATGTTTTCTCCCCCCCTCAGTCATAAAGGCGCCATAGTTTCCCATCCCTGCTGGCCCCAGGAATCCTGGGAGTTGAAGTCCACAAGTTTAGCACCTAGTCTGGGCTGGATGGGAGGCCACCAGGAGAGCCTCCGGATGTCTGCTGAACTTTTATTTTCACCTTTTTGTTTTCCAGACACCCCTGGGGAGTAGCTCACAACCTTGAACTGGACAAACTATGGTTTAAGATAAGATTATGAAATCCAAAAAAAATCCTAAATTGACTCGCCTTTGGCCTATAGAAAGGAAGGAAACCCCGTTGTTAGGGATTGGCATAATAGATTTAATGTAGCAAATCCCAGGATACTGGTTGTAACTTAGCTTTAAGTCTTATTTCAGCCAGTAAACCTGATTATATCTTAACAAAACAGATTCCCCCCCCCCCCCCCATCTTATAAATAAATAAAAAGAATGGGAAGCTTCAGCATTTTGCAATGATCAAGTATTGTTTTAAAATTAAAACCCCAACTACCATTAAAATTTAGATTTTTCCCATATTCTATTTTGGTTTAATAGCTACATAAGCCGTCAAGCCTTTATTGGTCTTTGAGACAGGAAGTTCAACAGTTTAAAAAAAAAAACCCACACAGTTAGTCCAACCCCTGCTCATGTATGAGATTGATGTATGAGATTGATGTCATAGAATTGTTAATGTAATGATTATCTTTTTGTTTTTAAAAGACATAAAAGAGTAATAAAGTTTATTAATAATGCAGATACAACAAGTAATAATACCAAACGGAGCAACCTGGAAAGGGATGTTAGGATCCTGGTCATATGGAAGAAGACAAGATTGTGTATTTTTCCCATAGCTTCTTTATATTGTGTTATTATTATTGTTGTACTGTTGTTGTTTTCCCTGAAGGGCAAATGTCCTGAAGAAGGATGGGACGAAAGCACAATTGAACTCTTCCTTCACGAACTTGCAATTATGGATAGCAATAATTTCCTTGGTAATTGCGGTGTGGGTGAGCGAGAAGGAAGAGTCGCGTCCCAAATAGTGGCTCGGAGACATTACAGGTAAAAAGGTGGTTTGTTTTTGACCCAAGTTTTGTTTGGGCACTCCATTGGCTTATTCACACAGGATGCCAATAATAATAACTAGCTGGATACCCGTGCTT